TCAAGACACGATGGCTGTGAAGAGTTAGCGAGCACAAGCGGCACTCACCGCACATTGATGTCACAATCCAATGCTTATTGCGCAGTTCATCCATAATCATCGATGACTCGAAATCACTTCTAGTATTCCCTTGAAGAAACACACACGCATATTCCAGTTTAGGTGAGAGTAACACAGCACCAAGGGGGAAGATCGGCCTGGTCTCGCGTACGCTATCAATGCTTCGGACTGCCTAGAAGGAAAATGGTCGCTGCCGCTCAATGCTGCCCGTGTGCAGCCCAGCTTTGCAGTACTCTGAAATTTTTCCCAGTGACTCTAGCTGTTTAGGCCCAGCGCAAAGACCTCAGCAGCATGGCATGATCGACGGCGGACAGCTTAAGCTAGTGCACGAAAAACAGTAGCGAGTCTCTGGGAGTTTTGCAGTGGGTGCAGGTGGACGTCTTTTGTGGTGGGGTGCGTGGGGAAGGCCACCGCGGGTTGCTTGCTGTGGATCTCTCGTGGGGAGTGCAACATCAGCAAAGCCGCATTTGCCATGCCTAGCTGTTATGTTCTTTGCATGTTGTATTCGCATACTGTAAAAGGCTATATAGCGTGTCACTAGTGATGTCATTACTGATCTTTCCGGGTCGATGCTGTATTACGTTCGCCTGAACTGGATTATGTGTGCATGTTTCTTCAAGAGGATGCTAGAAGTATTTCTAGTAGGTAAACAAAAAAATGAGGTGCTCAAGGTCACGAGGTGTGTGTGAAGCATTTTGTTTTGCCGTGCCATTCCTCCCTGCTTACCTTCCATATATTTCATCGGGACGAGAAGAGAGAATGCAATTGTGCTTGCGACAAATTTTTGGAACTCCGCTCGAATTGAACAGATTCTAGAAACTTTGCGGCGGTAAATTTGTGAGACAACAAGCATGTTTGCTGGCTGCATGGCTACTTCAAAAAGTGTTGCAGGGCCCCTTTAAAGGAACATGTTACCCTCAAATCAATTCTTTATTTTATTAAGCTTGTTATGACAGCTTATGTGATCCAAGTATGATAAATTTTAAAATGCTAAGTATCTTATAACTCGCATCTTACCGAAACTACTGCTCAAAGTTGTTTCGACTTCGTTTGAACGAAAAAAAAAAATTACATTTGCATAGAGCCCCTATTTCAATTCTAAAAAAATTTGGTGCAGGTCAGTCATAACATTCATACCATTCGAATCCAATTAGAAGTTATTCGATCAAAGTCACTATTTGCTAGAAACAGTGTTTATCGTTTATCTTAGCAGTTGGAGTACGTGAGAAGCCTTACGTGAGAAGCCTTTATGATGATAAGCAAAGAAGCTCAGCGCACGAAATTCACGTTATATTTTCATGCCACACACTGATCTGTTACGAGGGTGCAAGAACGAGAATAATTCACTGTAAAAATACGTGCTTGATTTTATAGTGACCCTTTGACGCTTGTAAGTGTATGCTTGGCAGTATACAATGTGTTGGCATCATAATTTTTGTAAAAGAACACGCTTAATATATTATATTTTATATCACCAATTTTCATGTGCAACACTTATATATCAGTCACAGTAGTATTTTGCGATAGAGCAAATGATAATGCCACTGTCACCGTCAAGGTCAACCAGTAAACAGTAAACAATTGTATCGAGCCAGTTGGTATGAATCCATCTTGGTAGGAAGCGCAGCTACTATTACACAGAACACACAACAAAGGCGCTTGAGCGCTTGTGTTGTGTGTTCTGTGTAATATTGGCTGCGCTTCCTACCAAGATAAATCAAGACAGTAAACAGGTATGTTAATAATTTTTTTTTGTTTTTAATGCCTGACTAACCTATTCAAAATGAATGCACAGTTTGTTTGAAAGATACAGGCATAAAGAGCTGAGAAAGTTGAAGAGTATGTAGTGCTTTGTTTTTAATCACTCACCAGACCGAATGGATAAATAAGGTAAAATATTGTTGCATGCGAGTGTTTCCTGCAAACTTTGCGTAGGTTACTGCAGAGACAAGTGTTGTTGGGAGGGGGCAAATTCTTTGCGATCAAATCTATTTACAGCCACATAAAACGCCTTTCTTCGGCCTTTTTCCTGCACATAATGCGGAAATGAATTATATTTCTAGGTCACATTCAGTTGATGCTAAGGTATAATTCCTCACATCTGCATGACGCGTTAGAAAAGCGACGAAATACCCTTAAGTAATGTGCGCATGCTAAAAGTCCAGCCGACGGCGCATTGAACTCGTGCGCCTACTGAAAAGCGCTTGGAAGGGATATGGTGGCACGAGGGAAACAGATGCGGTACTCTGAAAATTTTCCAGTGACTCTAGCTGGCTCACTGTATTAGTGCGCCACCTGTAGGTGCCGCATGTTCCCCATATTTAAAATTATTTATGGCTTACGACGCAAGCTTTTGCCTTTGCTGTCAGTGTGCTGTCTTACGCAAGCTTGGCGGGTTTTTGTTGTTGATCTCCATGCCGCAAACTTCATATCACTCACGCTGTTCTTGGTACAGTGCTTGGGTGCAATATTTAGGACGCCGGATCTTCACGTCTTAGACAAAGCTTCTGCGATAACATACCGAACGGCAGGCTATGCCTAATCGACGTTTGTTGCCTTTCGGTAGCGGTTGCGTGCTATCTAAACTGCCGTTTGGTATGGAATCAACGAAACTCTTTGCAGTGTCTGTATTTGACGAGAAGAGATGCATATCGTTAATTAAAACGAGGGTGGCACATCCGCCCTTTTACGGTGGTCTAGTGGCTATACTCTGCTGCTGACCCGCAGGTTGCGAGATCAAATCCCGGCTTCGGCGGCTGCATTTTCAATGGAGGCGAAAATGCTGTAGGTCTGTGTGCTAAAATTTGAGTGAATGTTAAAGAACCCGAGGTAGTTCAGCAGCCCTCTACTACGGCGTCTCTCATAATCATATGGTGGTTTTAGGTCGTTAAACCTCACATATCAATAAATCAAATCAATAGCACGTGTAGCGCTTGAATGGTGGTTCGCGAATTGATTGCGATGCCTCAAAATCGGGTGCATGCCGTGAAATCAAACGACTGGCATCTTTCAGCGCGTGAAATTCCAGACGTAGATTGGACATAGTTTCTGTGTAATTGCACAATCAAGGCGGTCTCCCAAGTAGTCAGCGAATATTCACAATAGTGCTTTCTTATGTTAGACGCCCCCTCTTTTGCATTCATTACGTTCGTAACGCATGTGTTTGGGTGTTAAACATTTTTAACATTCGAAAATTTAAATGATCGTAAGCACCACGCATTCTTTGATTCTCGGACACGCGAGGCTGCATGCTCAACATCTTTCGCACAAGTAAGGCATTTGAAAAAGGTTGTTTTAGTTATAGTGCGGCAAGGCTTATAATGCGGATATTTGGGACGCTTGCAACTTAACTTATGTTATCAGTGGTCCATACTAAGACAGTAACCTGAAAAGTACATGTGCAAGTAAAGAAGTTCTAATAATAAACTAAAAATTCCTAATAATAAAGGGGCTTCTAAACAAAAAATGTGCTAATTGTGGTGCATTCAATCTGAGAAATGAATCTTTATTCAATAATATCCTCTATGTACTTATTTATTTTGACTTAGCTGTATTAGGAACTATGTTTTTTTTGCTATTTAACAAGGAAATTTTGACATAAATTTAACAAAGCTTTTCTGTAATTTCAAGCTTGTAATTGGGGTCTCTGTGGCCAGTAGTGAAAGTTAATGAAAGCTAGCTCAGGCACTCTTCAATATATGTCAGTGCATATTCAAAAAAACACGCACTGACAGCACTGTAAGCTAAGGAACATGACAAGTGCTCACTGAGAAATATGAGGTAAAGCTGGCTGATTTTTGAATGCGCAGCATTTCTTAGTTGCACGTCGGCGGTGGCACTGTCCACAACCTTACTGTGCATGCCCGCGTCCCGTGCCAGCCCAGGAAGACACCAGCAAAACTGCCGCTCCCCTCCCCCTCTCTCGCCTTGCAAGGCCAATGCAGGCAGCGTCTGCCAGTAAAAAAAAAAAAAAAAACTGTTCACTGGCCGCTGTGATACGTAGGCACTGGATTGCGCGTGAGGAATTCAGTCGTCTTTACTTGGCTTTCGCTTGACGTTGAAGGCAACGCTTCTTCAATAATAAGAATAATAAAAATGAAATAACAATTAAGCAATCCCCAACCACACCCAATTGTGCAACAATCACGAGATGCATTTACTCAATTCACCCCGTGGCAAGATGTGGGGGGCTTTTTTTAAGGGGTGAGGTGATCAAGATTCTTGAGAACCTTTTCATGGGGGAGGGGTGGTGAGTTGTAGTCTCTTGTTTGTAATGTCTGGCTGCTGGCTAAAAGCATAGTATGTGAGACTTGTAGCTATAGCACTGGCACAAGTGAAAATCTTTTGCTTTCGGCTTTGCTAACTGTACTGCAGGCACAGGAAATTCTTTTCGCACAATGAAGCACAAACTCTTTAGAATAATTTTCCTACAGCCAGCAACAAATGAAATACACTAAAGCACAACCCTTTTAGAATAACTTGTGTACAGGTAGCAACAAATGAAATACAAAAACCAGTAATGACTTGGGAAATTAGGATGTTTCTTTTTCTGTGATGTTTCTGAAGCATCAACACCTCAACAAAACATGAGCTTTACTTCCCACATTTTTACTACCCGAAGTCGACCCTTACCTTACGATTGAATGCTGAAATTAAAGTTGTCCGAAAAGTGCACTGATGCTCTTCTACAGTTTTGGACATTTTGTAAGTTATGTTGGCAACGTGTGCCAGCCAAATGCCATCCTGTATACAAGTCAATAACCAGATATTTTGTTTCCTTCATGTGAGGGCATGCACTTCACGTTTGTTCTAATGTCACTGTGTGTGGCAGTCTCAGGGGCTTTTGTTGCCCTGGTATGTTTAGACTCCCCTTCTTTGGATGATGTGTAGACTTTCCAAGTTAAATTAAGAATGTTTACACATGCAGAGTGCTAGAGTACCTTGCAAGTCTTGTTGTATAAACTGAATACGAGGCCCAAAGTGAAGAGGTAAAGGCCCGCGTACAGGTACTGGGCGAGAAGAATGTTCGTCCCATGGCCAGTGATGTAGTACAGAGCCATGAAGATATACACAAAGCCTGCAGGGTACCTGAAATGAATTGACAAGTCTAACTGCATAACAAAACATATTGCTTACCACAAGGCCTTGGTGACTCTAGATAAAAAAATTGGTACATAATGGTTTGCAATAGCTTTTATTTGCATGAACAGTATTTGAAGCAAAGTAGTTATTTTTGCTCATAAGTGAACTAACTACAAAATACAAAATGCTTTCTGCACAAAGTGGTCTTCAGTACCCCGACTTGAACATGTATTGTCGTGCCTGGAATTTCACTGTTTAATTGTCTATTTACAAATATCTTACAGTCCTTGCAAAGGCCTGTAAATGGGATCAGATACAAAAGAAGGTTCACAACATGAACAACAGCAAGTACAGCAAAAGACGAGTTGGAACCATGGTGTAAGAAAAACAATTTAGGTGCGGACATTCCACTGTGTCCAAGTAATGTTTGGCGCTTTCAGGCGCTCCAGCCCCCATATTGCATCACCCCCCACCCGACTGTGGCCGGCTTATGTACTGCAGATGACGAGCTGTGTATGTAGCGTCCATAATTGCATTGTGCACTAGAAAACACCGAGGACGCAACTGCAGAGTTTGCAGCACATAGCGCCTTCCGGTCACGAAAAACGCGGCTTGCAATTTTAGCTTTAGTTACTAGCGTGCACGGTGTCTCACAAAAAAACACAGAAAAAAAAAAAACGCTAAGCCTGCGCGTTTTTATTTACCGAGATTTTTTTCTTATTTAGAGCGGTAGTGGTTACGGACAGCGGCGGCGGCGGACAACTACGGCGCCGCACGTGAGCCGTTTTGTGGTCTCATAACAGCTTTCACTGTAAAAAAAGAATGTGAGTCTGCCCCGTCAAGCTTGCTCTCTTAAGGCCCCCACGTCACGGCGCCGCTTCGCTCTGGTGCCACGATGCATGTACTAAAGCCAAACATTATCTTGACGCAGAGAGTGTCCACACCTAAATTAGTATTTTGCTTACATCGTGATTAGTACAGAGCAAGTGATATGTTATGTTGGATTACAAAACATAAGGAATTGGCGAGTTTGAAGAATATAAAAGGGAAATGCAGAAATGTGTTCGACATATCCGCAAGGAACATCACACGTTAAGGCACTGAGGAACGTTGACCTCCCAATAGCATAACGTATATGCAAGAGTAGTGTATTATGTCTGTCTGTGCAATGATGGTTTCCATGGATATCACAGCGAGAAAAGTTTTTTTTTAGTTTAATAACCGCAACGATGAACCCCGCCACAACGATGATAAGGGGCATTTGATGCAAACGAAGAGCAGTCAGCGTTCTGCTGGCTCTCCCTTTTTATCTTATCTGAGATGATGTTCCATGACCTCAGTTGTTCCACATAACCAATATTCCCCTTGAACTGGGAAAGCATATGCTACTTTCACTCTGAAATGAAATACTAGATAATGTTACGATTACATTTTCATTCTGATTCAACATTCATTTTTTTGTTTTTGTTATGACACACCACAAGGCCTTGAAAGCATCATCATCAGATGCCCACTGCAGGGCAAAGGCCTCTCCCACGTTTCACCAAATTTTTTTTAGGTGCAAAGCTCCTCATGGTGTGGGTCTGTCGCTCCTCCGTATGTATGTATGTCCGTAGCCACCAGTGGCACATACCCGCTCTAGAGCAGGTACTTGCCACAGGGGTTGTGAGATGGTGGTACTTGGAGTGCTCACTAGATCGACGCACAGATGGTTGCGCGAACGGACGCTTTGTCCCACTCATCATCATTCCCTCCGTGGATATGCTGAGATTTTTTCTCTCCTCAGACATTTGCGTTCTCTTGGAATCCAGTCCATTACCCTAAAGAGACAGGGTACGCAAAAATATGGAAAAAAAAAAAACATTTCTTTTCTTTGTGTGTTGTTTGAAACCTCAGGCCTTTTCTGAACCAGAATCAGTCGTTTGTTTGTCTTAGTACGGTTTTTTCCCTCTGAAAGTGACATATTCAAAACACTTAAGCCACGGCCTGCCATGCACCTATTTGTAGCAAGGAATTTCTTGCAGTTCAAGCATCATTGCCATATGGAGAAGTTACAGTTTGCAAGCTAGAGTGCATTTGGCACATTCAGAAAATAATTGGCCCAAAACTGCACAATAAAAAGGAAATCAGAGGAATCAAGCTTTCCGTCGGAAAATCTATGTCTGGTCAGGGACTTCTTAGTGGAGGACATGCTAAAAGCTGTGCGGTCCACATATGTTCACAGAGCATCTAAGGACACCAATCAATCCTACAGCCTTTGCTTGAAGGACACCACAACTTGGTGTAAATTCAACAAAGCCCAGTTGAATGTTGAACTGTTTGTTCATAAAGAACATCTTTCAGCATCTGTTATTGAGGCTGTCAAGCCAAATTGTCTAGAACTGGCTCATCCAGAATTACTTGCTAAATGCCTCCATGGGAAAACTCAAAACGATAACGAGTCATTGGATTGTCATGTCAAAACAACATTTTCTTCGGGCACCAAACACTGTAAGTACACTCTTGATGCTGGGTCCACTTTCATTGATGGCAATATAGCCCGTGTAAGTGTGCCGAACTATCTTGGAATTTCGCCACGGCACTGCACAGTGCAAGGCCTACGCAATCTTGCACTGCGTCGACAGTACTGGGCTGACATGGCTGCATAGCAGGTGACAAACAACGCTCGCTAGAGAAGACGTTTCAACATAAAAAAAATTATATCGTTGAGTATTTGGCTGGTATCTCCTCGACAAGTTCGTCAATTTGCTGTTATCTCACTGTACTTCTGAAATGATGCAGATATTCAACTTTAAGAGCAATTATTTCAAAATATGCTTTTTTTGAGCTCATGTTCCCTTTTTTTAGCTGCCACAGCATCTAGAGTCACAGTTTTTGGCCAGCATTTAGATAACATAATAGGAAATATGCTGAACCAGAATTATAGTTGTGTGAGGAAATGTTTTTCTGCAACACATCTAATGACTATTATTGTGACTATTAGGTACCTGAGGTAAAAAAATTAGCATTACAATTTTCAGGGCTGAATCTGTTTCAGTTGGAAGAGGAATGACTCATGATCAGAATGATAGTAAAATAATTAGTGTAGCTCTAGTGGTTATAGAGAAAGAGATACATAAACTTTGCCTAAAATACATGGCAGGTATAGGGTTTAACCTGTTCCCTTAATGAACATCTACCGACTACTTACCCAGCCCATGTCCATTATTTCAGCTATGATGTCCTTAACCGCTGTTTGTTCCCTGGCCTCTCTGCTGTCTTCCTGTCGATTGAGGTTACTTTTTGCTTTTCTTTTGTTTTTGCTTTTTCTTTGCTTGCTTTGTTGTCCTCAATGTAGGTTACACCCTCTTTAAGCCTCCAGGTTCCATTATTTCAGCTATGATGTCATTAACCGCTGTTTGTTCCCTGGCCTCTCTGCTGTCTTCCTGTCGACTGAGGTTACTTTTTGCTTTTCTTTTGTTTTTGATTTTTCTTTGCTTGCTTTGTTGTCCTCAATGTAGGTTCAACCCTCTTTAAGCCTCCAGGTTCCATTATTTCAGCTATGATGTCCTTAACCGCTGTTTGTTCCCTGGCCTCTCTGCTGTCTTCCTGTCGATTGAGGTTACTTTTTGCTTTTCTTTTGTTTTTGCTTTTTCTTTGCTTGCTTTGTTGTCCTCAATGTAGGTTCAACCCTCTTCAAGCCTCCAGGTTTCTGCTCCATAGGTAAGTATGGCATACATGCATGGCTTGAAGCACATACACAAGGGAGCAATTGGCAAATGTTACACTGAACATTAGTTGCACTGTAGATACTGCAGCCACCTCTAACCACGAATGTGCCCCGACAACCAGGGGCCACGTGAGGCACCCCAAAAGTCTCAAATGAATAGCTGAGATTTGGCCTTGCTACAAATTACTGCAAACCCACGGACAGAAGATCTCGGCCAACACAGTGAGAAGACTGGTGGTCGAGACGATAAGAGAAAGAAGGCGATGTCGTTTGGTGCTACAATGGAGTTCTGCAAGTATTGAAAGTTATTTGTGGCAGGATATTCATCATGTAGCATACAGTGAGCTCAGTCTACGTAGACTTTGACCTCCTTTAAGCCAATGCACCAGTTGCTCCTTCAATCTCGCTAGTTCAAAACTAGAAGAATGATTCGCGGGGCAGTACATAATATCAAAGTCACGAACAGGACATGCGGAGAAATGATGCGAGTACTCACACAAGCGGTCCAGTGTCCCCTTTGAGATGAGCGTAGTCGTAAGTGCCATTGAGCACTCCTTCCACTTCTTGCATATAAGCTCTCCAGTCAATTTCGGTGTCTGAAACATCAACCGACAACCATCGCACAGTGCAAAGCAGGTGCGCTCACACAAAACAACGCGCCGAACTGTACTTACAAGGTACCCTGCCGATAACTGTCATGTTCACAATAAATTCGATGATTAAAAGAAATGGCACCACTAAGTAGACGATTCCCGGATCGTTCAGAAACTGCCACACACTAAAATTGCGGAGATCGTGCATGACGCAGTTAAACGTGGCTCGCAGCTCTCTGCGAAAGACCGAATTCCTCCGGTGATGTTGACTTCTCTTTCCGACAGTCCGTGGAGGCGCCATTCTTATCAGCGCGTTCGATCAGCAGGGGCACTGCACTTTTCGCCGAAGACAGAGCTGCTACCGTTGACTGAGCATTTGAAAAATGCTTCCCAGGCAAAAGACCATTTGGACAGTGCGAAACCACAGATGGCGAAAGGAAAAGGCAGCGTCTCCTGCGCCGCGCAGCGCAGCAGCCAGCCCCACCATAGCCTCCTAGATTTCCCTTGCCTGCCAGATGAGCGCGAAACGCCGGTCATCTATGGCAGCGCTACCTACGCAGGGATAACGGTTTTTGTACTTGGCCTTTGAGATTGGCACTTTTGGCCATTGCTACTAATTTTAGAAGATGCTTTGTAATAAAAAAGGTGCTTGCTGAATGATGGCGTCATTTACGTAGGTTTAATTATAATTACGTTTACGCTTTTTTTAATTCTCTAACGTTATTTTTGTTGCATATAAGCTCCAAAAACGTAAAAACTTATTTGAAGACACCCCCTACTTAGGTGACGCCACCACCATAGTTCCGATGACGGCCGCTTTCCTAGTGACCGCCGATAATCCGGCAGGCAAGAGAAATCTAGGAAGCTATGTCCCCACACAGCAGTGACTCCTGCACCGCATAAAAGTGACGTCAATTAAAAAAGTATTATTTAATACTGTTTAAATGTATAAATTAATAAATAATGCGTTAAACTCAAAAGTTTTTCTAAGCAGGTAGGTGTTTAGCGAGTTAATCAGCCTATATTTGTTAATTAAACACCTATTACAAATGGCAGCGTCTCCTGCGCCGCGCGGCGCAGCAGCCAGACCCACACACACCCGCTGTCACAGAGGCAGGAAAGGTGTCCTCCGTGACAATAGTTATAGCGCGAGAACAAAACGACGACACAGAGACAAGAAGGACACGAAAGTCGTCGTTTTGTTCTCGCGCTATAACCAACGTCATGCCATACCAACTAGCCCAAGCTGCCACACTTGTCCTCCGTGCCCGCTGTCCTCCTCGGCATCTGACGCTAGATTCGAAAAAGCAAACGATGCATTTTGTTTTCTTATTCAGAAGCATATTATGAGAACCTTGTTACCAACTTTAATAAATATTTCTTAAACTCTAAATGTGGTAAGTGTGAGCGCTGAACTTGTTCTTCAACTACATTTTTGAGCAAGCTGCAGTGCAAGCGACACCATGAAAGTCTGCGGAAATGAAAATGAAAAATGGCGACCGCCGTGTATTTGGAACATTACCTTGACAGTACGTGCTTTCTATTTCGTTATCTTTCGTGTATTTAATTAGACCAGTGTGGCCTGTGTCTGCTAAACGTCTCTGGGGTCTATAATTTTTCTCTCCATTGAGAACCGGGCGTTCTTCTGGCGAGTGGTCGTGGGGCACGGCGTATCGTGCCGCAGTATCTTCTCATGTCCTAAAGGGTCCAATAAAATGAAAGTTTCGTAAGAATCGCACTTTGCATGTTACAAACGGGCAGAAAAATTGTACAGGTAGAATGCTGCATTGAACGTGCGTGTAAACATCAACAGGTACTGACGTCTTGTCTAGCGGCAATTCGAAGCAGTTTAACTTTTCTGTGAGAGTATCTGCATTTAGGGCAGCATTTTGTAAACACAGTGAAGGCCGTGTTGTGCATAACGCCGGTTATTAATAGTGCAATGCTTTTTAAACGATTTTGCATGCCGAGCCTGAAAGGATTTGCACGGCTCTCCTATCCTCTTCAGTCATGAATCAATATGAACTGTCAAAAATGCGTGAAATTCACGTCGCATATTTCCTAAGCACTCAGCATTATATTCCAAAGAAGAAAATAAGAAACAATGTGTTGTTTTTACAAGTTTCAGTATTTAAAGTTAATTAGTGTGTCACTAATTGTCTTACTACTCTGCCACCAGTCATGTTCAGCAATTGCATAAAAAGACTCAACTATGTGACTCAAATGCATGCTGAGTTTCATTTTTTGTTGTATTCATTTCGAACGCAGAAAAAAATAATTCACTGCTGATACTTGAGCTTGGCACGTCAAACAATTGTCAAACGGAATAGTGTGTCCAGCAGTGGTCGTCTTCAATAATATGCAGCAAAATAAAATAAATTGTTGATCCTTATCTAACAAGGAAGCCTGCAGCAATGTGCACACTGTGTATCAGGCCATATGAAGAAACGTGCAGCATATGATGCACTTTACAAGTTCGCATACACAATTCTGTACGTTGTGACTGAAAAGGCTGTACCTCGTGTCGAATGCTGGGCAAGGTTCCCGAAACTGGGCCATTCCTACTTTAAAGCAGCTTAGGGCACATTCTGGCCAGTTGGGGGAGCCACTTCACCACGGTGATTTCTTACCGAAATTAAGTAGATCACCAAAGTAGTTTTGTCTCGGTGATTGATTGATATGTAAAGTATAACGTCCCAGAACCACCGTATGATTATGAGAGACGCGTCCATCATTGCTGGGCACAGAGAACGGCAGCATGATTGATTACATCATTGCGTTGTTATGCAGTCTCAGGAGGTTGTTCTCTTGGCCGCAATGATTGTGGGAGATACACGAGACCAGTGTACTCTGGCTTGAAGGTGAACGATCTCTTAGAGGCCTGAAGTAGCTACTGCTGCTTGTGCGCGGACTCCTTTTGGCATGTTGCACTAAACTAGTGAGCGCTGTGGCGAGTGTGAGGTTAGCTTCCAGCTGCAGAGCTTCAAAGAGCATGCCGACTCGTACACGACATTTTCAACTTAGATGACGTGCGAGTCAAACTTCGCCTTGACAAGATCGAAGTTTTTGGTGTTTTCTGTTAAAAGGGAGATTGTGTTAAAAATTTGTCTTGCTTTGTGATCCATCACGTATAGCAGAATTCGCACCTGCATTTCTTGCTCTTGTTAGACGAGGCTCGATGTGTAGTGGTAGCCATCAAACTCGAGAAACCATGCAGGCCATTTGGAGGCTAAATCTAACGTGATTGGCTGTGGAGATTATCGAGAGAAACCTGTCGCGGCGCTCGTAGCTGGCGTAGCTGAGTCTGTCATTGCGGTTGTTGGAGGCCGTTGACGATGAAGGGAGCAGAGGCTCGCAGAAACGGCTCAAGTACCCCACTTCTGACATCGTGTTGTGAGCTCAAACGAAAAGTGTTTCTTTAACAGGCATCCGGATGCACCTGCCCTCGGAGTGTAATGCAATTCGGGCAGCGGGAGGTTGCACTGGGCTGTCTGTCGATTAGACTACAAAGTCCATATGTGTTACAGTAGGCGAGGAGCCATGCCACAGGGAAGAGGGGAATAAAAGAAGAGTGTTCTGGCTTTCAATGAACGAAATTGCGAGAAAAGATCCTGGCTAGAGTACACATCTCATATCTGCTTTAGGAGCTGTGCTGCTGTATTACTATGTTCCCTGAATGCTAAATGCATCAGCGTTGATGTTTGTTCTGTGATATATACTGCAGGAATTTTTTGCATATGATTTACATTGTGGTGAACATACCTCAGTGACAGCTGCTATGATGTTCTGCTAAGGGTAAAACCTTATGGATATTGTTTGTTCTTCCTTTACAGGCCTGGAGACTCTACCATCCGAACTTCAAAGAAATTTCAATTTGATGCGAGATCTTGACACTAGAGTGCAGGGACTTTCTAAGAACATTGAAAAGTTGTCCCAGGCATATATGAACAATGCTAAGAATTATACAGCAGCTGAACGGGTAGAACAATTGGAAAATATCAGAAAAATGTTTGAAAAGGCCAAGGAATATGGCGACGACAAGGTTCAATTGGCCATGCAGACATATGAAATGGTAAGTAAAGCAATGCTTATCATGTTAAAAGTGTAACCTCAGTAATATGTTCTCGGCTTGTATTAATTTCGAGGTGATATGAATTTTTCTGTAGTCCCGACTAAGGCCCATTGGCGTACAGCATAATGGCATACAGTTATCACAAACTGCTTTTGCCTCACGACATTTGATACGAACATATGGTACTACGCAGGTTCAGACATATACTGCCCGTGCTGCCATGGAAGACATGGCAAACCATGCACATGAATCTTGGAGGCCCTAATATGTCTTCGCATTTATTGTGGATGGCATCGGCGTCGGGGACAGGTCGAGAAACTGCAGGACATGATGTGTCTCTGTTAGTACAATCGACTACGCAGCAGTTAATGACTCTGAAAAACTACATGCTAGCGGGTGTTCAGACAGCATTTGGTTCTGTTCAGGCTCTAAATGACAGTCTGATTAACGGCAGCGCGCCAGTCACAATGCACAAAGTGTATAGGCGGAGCTTAACCCTTAGGTGCCCGCTGTTGCTCTGGGGCAACAATCATAAAAATATTTTTTTCTGCACACACACCCTGCTGCGCATCCCTTGTGGCACTCTATGGGGTAAGAGACAAACACTACCAAGCATCTTGAGCTTTAAAAAAATATATGTAAATAACAATTCATCACGTTTTTGTAATGTTTTTTTCCAGCATCTGGCAGGTGGCAAAAGAATCTTTACACACCAAAAGAAATTTATTAGACTACAGCGGAACAGGAAGCTCCTGCGACATTTGTTATACTTAAAATGATTAAGAAGGCATTGTAGAACATTCATGAGCACGCTGATTAGTGTGGCTGCAAATTACATTCTATAAATCTTGATACCGAAGGGGTTGTTGCTTAGGAGCAACATTGGGCATATATGTGAGCACAAGCAGATATGGGAAGATGCGATTGTAGTAATTTACAGTGTGCGCAGGTGTCATATTTGATGTTTTTAGTGTTTCGCTTCATGTTCTTTTGATCCTCTTGTTTCTTGTCTGCGTCACTCCCAGAATAAGCACGCCGATCTGTCCGTCGTAGGAACGGGAAGAAACTTTATTCTTGCAAAAATGTCTGCGTGGTTCGATGAGTTTTCTATTTCCACGATAATAAATCTAAAGAGATCATGTTCATGATATAAAGGAAAAAATATGATCTGTTTTCTAGCTTTGAAATGTGTTTTTTTTTTAGGCTGCACGGCTTATGGCCAGTTTCCTAGGTTTCGGTATAGGCCGAAATTTTATCATGTATACATATAAGTCTTAATCTTGGATAGTGAAACATGAATCTACACGCTATTCGAGGCCGCTACTGCTGAGAGGCATTCCATATGAAGTAGTAGCAGAAGTGCCCAATGTTGCTCAGGAGCAACAATTTATTACTCACCTATAAATAATCATGATTTTTTTTTCTGACAACGTTATTGGCGGGCTTTATCATTACCTTATGCATAATAGAGCTTTTTTGGTGTTGTTTATTGAAACAAAAGTTTGGGCATCAAAGGGCTAAGAGTCCTCCAACTTGTTTTCTTCTAGAACTAAGGTTAAATTTGCCAACTTTTTGCTTTGTTCCTACTTTCATGTGTATTGTAATTACACATATGCAAAAGAATACTCACTTGCATGACTGGGTTGGCTGGGGAAAACATATGGTTAACATTAAAAAATGTATGTTCAGGAGTATAGAAAACTTGTTGTTTTAGAGATGGTTGTCGAGAGTTCGACGGAATGCCGTCTGGTCAGGTAAAGGCATTGTTGAATAAAACAGGTCACTGACCAATGTCAAACAAAACAAGACGTTTCGGGACCCGTACGGGTCCCTTGTTCATAATGGAATGATGGCTGATTAACAGGTTCTTAAGTAACGTTGAGCGAATGATGCAAAGTCCGGGAGTACACATGGTTTAGTGTGCCAGATGATCTATTGATTGTGTTAGAGATGGTTGTGTGTTTATACAGCGGATGTTGGTGACATTTTTGTGGTACTTATAATACTACTGCTTAAAACTTCAGGAATAAAACGGTGCTCAAAACGTGGGCGCTGAACGCATGCATGCATATCAGTATGTCACACTTCACAGTAAAGATGTGCCATTGTCAGTATTCTGTGTGTGTACATTGTGTGTGCATTTCTGCAGGTGGATAAGCACATTAGGCGTCTTGATGCTGATTTAGCCCGCTTCGAGGCAGAGCTGAAAGAGAAGGTTCTAAACGTCCAGGGGAGTGACTCGGAGAGCACCTCAAAAAGTGAGCTCTTTTCACTGCCTCTGTCTTCTGTTGGCCACTCTTGACGAATACCAGCACAGTTTCAAGGCACCCCAATAGGGCCATTTCTCATTTCCATGATATTTACTATAAACGCTCTCCACACACAGATAGCACATATAAAATAATTTGCTTTGATTTGATTGTTTTTGTCACCCAGCATCTGCAAGCCAGTCCCAGCAAAATTAATATTACCACGACACAGTTGATTGGGCTTGCAAAGTCTGCTTCGTCCATGCAGTCTAAATAGCAGAAATCGCTGTCAAAGCTGCTGTATGGCAATTTACTTGTTTTCTTTACATGAATCGCATGTGTCTGACAGCAAATGACAGTGGTGGTGCTTGGCAAAGCAGTGGAATTTTAAGGATTTCTTTTTCTTTGTTAGACGCCGAGGGGGGATGTTATTAGTAGCAATTGCATCGTAAATGTGTAAATAACAGTAATTGTTGCTGTCAGCTGCTTAATTAGTCAAGATTTAGCTGCTTAATTAGTCAAGATTTAACCATTAGCTTTTAAACAACTGGAGCAAACATGCATGTTTGTATTGAAAACTTGGAGGCTCACATTTATGCACAGTTACACTTGGAAGAATTCTTCTAGCATGTCTATGCTCCGAGATGTCCCACAGTACTTGAGCCGCCAAGGTCACGTGACTAGGCCCCTGTTTTTATTACGTCATTCTGTTTGGTGAATCCATGAATTACTACCTCTATCAGAAACAGATCAATGTCCACATCAGATACTGGGATGCATCTTTAAAAAATCACAGCATATCCACGGGGTGTATCATGATTAATAAGCGAAGCTCCGGAGGGAATCGTCGGTAAATCGTGAATTTTCCGAGTAATTCGCCGAGTCGATCATCATTTAAAGACGTGAGAAGCGCTGTGTATGCCGTGACGCTTGGGCCTCCCGCTCTCGTACGGCAGGATCTTGGTAGCGACTTCGCGCAGCTTCACGGCGCGCCAGCAGCAAACGAATTTTATTACGACGCTCCTTCTAGCCTACGTCGCCGCGCCGCACTAAATCGAACGATTGACTTTCACCGATGACGCGTGTCGTATCTGATATCTTTCCTATTATAACATCCCGCATCTTTCATTATCAACTTTACATACCGCCATCTAGTTTTACAACATCTCGCATCTATTTATCAACTACAAGTACCACCATCGAGGGAACACTCCAAGTACCGCAATCTAACTTTATAACATTTTGCATCAACTACCGCCATCTAGTGAACACTGCAAGAACTAAACTAGAGGTGGCTGCTTACTACTACTACAACTACATACCTCAGAGGATGTACAGACACACGCCTTGAAGAGCTTCGCCCCTAAAAATAAGTACCATGTACTTGACATCTGTTTTTATGGGCCATGCAACGGCAGATGACATGAAAGATGCATTATTGAAGGCACTCGAGCCATTACTACTTGCGCAGATTTTCCAGCTTTCTATAGAAGAATCAAACATTAATTTGAGAATTTTCAGAGGCTTTCAGAAGCACTTGCAAGAAAACGGTCTGCCCTGATTTAGGCACTTGCAGTTTGCATATTGTGCACAACCCCTACAGAAGAGGTGTAACTGCCAGCAAGTGGTAATGGGACATCCTGCTGGCTTGTCTAGTAATATTATTTCAGAATTCCTGAACCACGAGAGAGGACTTCTCTGTCCTTTCTCCTTGTTCCTCTCAGGTATTGCTGGGTTGAACATGTTCCAGTGATTGAATGAGCACTGTCCTTGTGGCCTGATGGTGAAAATATACCTTGAGTCTGCAAGACGTTAAGAGGTAGCTTCCTTTCGGAACTTTTTTGCAGTGACCCGCTAATTCCAGCAAAAGTGAACTTTGTCACTTTCTCAAACCGTTCTCAAACTATTCCTCACGGAATGTCAGGTTGACCAACCACTTGTATTCTTTTTGGCCTTTAAAAAACTGTTCGGAAGTTACCCTCAAGAGTTTGCCAAGTTCTGCATCAAGTGGGATCACAGGCCTGCTGAAAATCAAGGCATGAACTGCGCTTGACACAACTGAGCAAATCTTCAAGAATTCTGAGGCCAGTACTTTAAAATGCAGTTCCTTGTCAGTGTAACAGAGAATATTCTTGGGGAGAGTCCTTTCAAGTTCCCCTTGTTTAGAGGCCTCTCCTCGCGGAATCCCCATCTGATCTACACCAAGCCAGGCCAGTGTTTAGCAGCTCTGTAGAATGTTTTCAACATTTCGCTCTGTGGAAAGATTGAGTGATTACTGCCGAGACGCTGTACTTGCTGAGTATGCTGAAATGCTACAGTTGGAGAAGCACAAGCTGCGTTTCTTTGAAAAGAGTTCGTATAGGATAAATGATTTTTTTTAGAATTCCTTCAGTCTAACTCGACGTACTGTGAGGTTCGAAGAGTACTAGAACTTTTGCATGTCTTGAGGCACGGTCAGGCAGCTGTCATAAGGGAGTTTATCATAAATCAGCAAATTTCTGTGGGAAACCTCATAAGCCTGTCATACACGATGCAGCGTGCTATACCTGACGTCGTTGATAAGACAGGTGGCGTATTTAACATTCCTTTGACAAAGAAACTGAAGGCCTCTGTTTCATCTGCAAACATAAGTGAAACTGCTGTGCCAATTTCATACGATTCCCCATTTTTGCGCCGAGCTGCGCCAAAACCATGAAATTTGTGGAAATTGCGCTACACTGCACCAAGATGCGTCCCACCAGCCTCAAAATTTTTCGGTTGTGCTAATTTTAGGGAAAAATGAAGGCCACGTTGGCAACCTGTAGTGTGTATTTTTAACCAATGCAGGGATACCGGCGTGCCGACCCATGACCTGAACCACGGCAGGACACTCGCGAACCGTGATCGACCAGATTAAGTAACAACGCCGCGAGCCCGTCGGTCTGCTGAACGCAGCGGATACGAGCAACTTTTCAAAATGTGTTGCCGTAGCCATCGACACTTCACGGTAAATGCTCCGCCGCGGTGGTCTAGTGGCTAAGGTACTCGGCTGCTGAGCCACAGGTCGCGGGTTCGTATCCCGGCTGCGGCGGCTGCATTTCCGATGGAGGCGGAAATGTTGTAGGCCCATGTGCTCAGACATGGGTGCTCGTTAAAGAACCTCAAGTGGTCGAAATTTCCAGAGCCCTCCACTACGGCGTCTTTCATAATCATATCGTGGTTTTGGGACGTTAAACCCCACAAATCAATCAATCAACTTTGTGGTAAAGATGCATCTTATAGTCTGCAAATGCGACTATGGCATGTTAGGAACTAAAGCTGGAAAGGTATGCCTCTGTTACTGCGCGAGAACAAACTCGACGTGCTGCAAGCCAAAGCTTTGCCAGCGACTACATTGGTTGCTATAGCAACGGCATATGGTCGAACTCTGCTACAACGAACGCCGCTTCAACGAAATTTCCGCTGCAACGAAAAATTCACGATTCCCCGTCAGCAGTATATAGGAGTCGATGCGTAAATATTGTCGCCACAACGAACACTTTTTCTTCGATCGTCCCGCTTCAACGAAATTTTACTATGCAATTCCAGGCTCAGATGCTTATTGCTATACAGTAAATCCAATCTTTAACATCTTGATGCGTTCCCAGAGCCTGAAAATGCGTCAACAAAATCTAAAACATGTGTTGGCACCTCCAGAAACCACCGCTATAGACCCTTTTCATGAATACGCCACCTGGTGGTGAGTTTTTTGTCAGTTTCACTTCGCAAAGGAGCGTGGGATAGCTAGCACCATCATGAGGGCATGGAAAGCAAGCCGTCAAATGTGTGAGTGCCGTGATGTTTGTGTTGGGGGCTAGTTCTCCGTATTATCCGCTGCAATCACACCGCTTTCTAGCTTGAACGAGCTCCTAGTACTCCCCGACAAGCTTTCTGAGCTGCTTCTGCTGCACAATGAGCAATATTTTGTACCCTTCAACGGGTTAGGCGAGCAGTTTGGCTTGTTATGACTGCCAATGCGTGGATCCGGCATGCAAGAGACTCTCATCGGCATGCCCTCCCGACGTGGTACGCGTACTGCAGGAACGCAATAGGTGTCTGTGTGTGTGCTGCAAGAAATGTGCATCAGCGTCGCTGGGACACACAGCCTGCGTCGTCTGCTGCGGTGCCCTCACGATGGCGACAGACTGTAGTTGGCTTCTGCGGTGCTAGGGGTGCCCTTTTTCGAAAAGGGTCTATACTACCGCTGTTCAGCAAGCAGGGGCGCCGCCATTGCTTGATAGCGATGGCAATGAGACTGCTCTGCTTTTGTTTTGCCACTGGCTTGCTTTTGAGCCACAGACAATCTGAAGCTGAAGCTCAGTTGCTCAGTTCATGGTTTCCTTCTCGCAGCTGCTGGGTGCAACCGTGGCACGATGCCTTTTCCAATGCTTATCATTATGCTCGCGCTTGGCCAGCGTGGTAACTAATCATAGCGGCTGTTTATTCGCATTATCAACAAAATCAGCTAGCCGCGACTGATGGATGATAAGAATGGCATAGAATAATGCAAAAGTCGCCGCTCCACGATACCCAGCCTCCATCTCGGTGTTGTCGGATACTTTTGATGGTGGATAGCTGCCGGTGTTAACGTGTTAACGTAACTGTTTGGTTAATTCACAAAAGTGGTTTTAGGCGTTGTTTCAGCGTGCTTTTCACCATGGCCTCGCTATGCATGGGGGAGAATCACGTCGTGTCGCTTCTGGGAAAGAATAGGAAGCAGGGGACATTTTTTGAATTGTGAGAATAAACATCCCTTTGTTTTGCTAGCTCAGCTGAGATATATTTTTTTCTATTTCACTACAACGAAATTTTCGCTTGAACAAAGCTTTTTCTGTGCCCCGTCAATTTCGTTGTAGCGGGGTTGGACTGTATACGACAGTCAAACACGCCTTGCAAGCGAGCCAAGAAGTTGTGTCTTAAACGTAACTCGATCGTAATAAAAAAATGGGGGGGGGGAGACGCTGTAGCGGTTCGAACATTTCTTGGCCTTG